TCGGCAGTTCAAAGAATGATGGTGCGCTTGCAGAGACATGGGTATCCGGTGTTGAGAATCCACTCAGATCGAGCGGGGGAGTTTGTCAATGCACGCTTCCGGTCCTTTTGCGAAACTCGTCTGATATATAGGACCACTGGTGATCCTGGAGTCCCGCAAACAAATGGGCGCGCTGAAGCATGTGTGGGTTTATTCAAACGTGGTGTCAGGTCGCTCTTAAAGGAGGCGCGACTCGGACCGGCGTACTGGGCACTGGCTGCTCGCCATTGGTCAATGTTACGGTGGCAGAAAGCTGAAAGGGAGTTGGGGTTAAATCCTAAGGCATTGCTTCCCTTTGGTGCTCAGATTCAAGTCAAACGTCGTCCGTGGGAGTTGCTGGGTCCGGATGGAACAAAGAAAGGTCGGCAATGGGTCGATCGTACGCAGCCTGCACTTCTTTTGGGTCCATGCGATGACCTACCTGGTGGTTATTGGGTGGAAGCTCAAGGGACTGCAAAAGATCCGGATGAACTGGTGTTATTTCCCTGCACTACGATTTTTTCCAATATAAAGGAACCGCCTGAATTGGAGCTGGAAGGGGTGGTAGAAGAACAGGAGCCTTCTCCTCCAGAGCATCGTCTCAAGGGGAAAAAACCGGCGCTTCGGTTCGCTGATGAGGAAGGTCCTCCTTTACCTCCGCCTCGCGATCCTCCAGTTCGTCATCGGTTAATGAAAAAAGCCCGGCCTCTTCACTGCGTGGTCATGTGGGCTCCTTGCGCTTGCTTCGCAAGCGGGGGGAGAGTCCGCCCTTAGAAATTTTCGAGGATGACATGCAGGGTCTGGGGGAGCTGGAAGAAAATGCAGATGTCGAGGACAATGTTCCTGGTGATGAGTATTGGCCGACTTGCTGTTCTCCTCATGAAAATGCTTATTTGGTCTGCAAAAGTGAGACTGCTGAGGATGGAACACAGTTGGAAAAAGAAGAGCAAAAAGCCAAGTCAATGTATGAAAAGTCTATGTATGATTACGTGGACTGTGAGGAGCTTTTGGAAGGGATTGTATACCCAAAGAGGGTGAATCGAAGAGGTGGTATCAACAATTGGTGTACAAGTACGCGAGCTCTGGTGTTGGGCCACTATACTCATGGCGGAGTGTGTGGTATCACAAAAGCGACTCATCGAAGACCATGGCTATGTCGTTATTTGGCATCATTCGTGAGGCACCGCAATCCTGAAGCCAAATTTTCTGCTCTTCAGATCTCGTGCAATGCTCCGGTGTCATTGCATAGGGATAGTCACAATGAAAAACATTGCTGCAATTATGTGTGTGGCTTTGGTGACTATAAAGATGGTCAGCTGTGGGTTGAGGATGAAAAGGTTTTAGAGGAAGGAGCTGAAGTGGTGGAGCAATCTTATGGGAAGAAAGTCCTACCTGGAAAATTGTTGGATATCCACTGGAACTTCATGTCGTTCTTTCCGAGAAAGCTGCGTGGCCCTATGCCTTGGAAAGGAAACAGGGTATCCTTGACAGGGTACACACCTGTTTTTATGGAGCGTTTGAGCTACAAGGATAGGTGCTATCTTCTCCAATGCAAGTTTCCTCTTCCGGAACCACAGGCTGAAGAAGGTGAAAAAAGGAAGTGGTTAAAAATGACGTTGAGAGAGACCTCGCTGGACGACCTTGCAGAAGAAGTCGACTACGCTGTGTTCGAAGCGCATCAATGGGCTCTAGAAGAGCATTTGAGTATTCGACGCCTAATTGCTGAACAGGAATGTTGCATTTTGGACGAGTTCCATGGATCGGCCAATGAGTCGAATGAGGAAAAAGGATCAGAGACTAGGGAATGGCTGGTTAAAGCAAAAAGGGCTGAGGAACAGCTATCGAAGTTTTTGGTCAAAGCAGCTCAAGTTCAGCAAATGGTACAAGAAAATACTGCGCTTGAGGCAGCAGAGGAGGTTGAGCTCCTGCAAACAAAAACAATCCCTACACAGGAAGCCATGCAAGAGCTGGAAAAGTGGAGGGAATCATTGTCGGACGAGGTGACGTCTTTGGTGGAAGAGTTGGAGGTGGTGGAACCAACAACTCAAGAAAAGCTGGACAAATTGGCGGAAGAGCCTAATGCACCGGTGATTGAGTACGTTCCCAGTCTGGTGGTGTTTACCCGGAAGCAAGGGACAGGGAGGCGACGTGCCCGTATCTGTGCATGTGGAAACTTCATTTCGTCAACGGCAGCTACAGAATATGAAGGGCCGAGGTCACTCAGTCGTCACTCGCTGTACGCTCCAGGTTTAGATTCAACTACATTCAGGTGTCAAGTGAGGCACGCAGCATATATGGTGTGGATCATCGCTGGCTTAGACATTTCCAAAGCTTTTCTGACGGCGCCGATGAATAGGGCGCAAAGAGAAGGGCGTTTGGTGGTGGTGCAGCCCCCAAGGGCGGCGGTGAAATTGGGTCTTTGCACAAAAGAGGAGCGGTGGATTGTGAGGAAGGCCTTGTACGGTTTGGCCGAAAGTCCTGCAGCATGGGTGGAGTGGCGAGACCAACGTCTTCAAGGGATGTCTTGGGTGTCAAAGGATGGACAAGCAATGAGCTTTCAGAGGTCCAATGCAGACCCAAGTCTGTTCCTTATTATGGCTCAAGAGAAGCTGGAAGGTGCAAGCAAGTTGGTAGGGACAATGGGTCTTTACGTGGATGATTTTTTGATGGCTGGGACTATGACAGTGCTCCGGGAGGCCTTGGAACAGATTAGGAAGGAGTGGAAAACTTCTGAACCCGAGTTCTGTGGTCCAGGCTGCGGTGATGGATTCCTGAAGTTTTTAGGTGTCCAAATCTGGTATCGAAATGGCAGCTTCTTTCTCAACCAGGAGGACTTTGTGAGAGATTTGCTGAACCGACGAGGGTATCAGATCGATGAAACTGGAAAAGGGAGTAACCTGCCAATGGTGAAAGAAACTCCAGGTGAAGAAGAGGAGGTGGATATTCCTTCCTTGCGAGCGGCACAAGGTGCCGTAGGGGAGTTCCTCTGGGTGGCAATCAAAACTCGACCTGATTTGGCGTTCTGCACGAGCCAGTTGTCTTTGTGGACATCCCGAAGGCCGCGATTTGTGGTTAAAAAGGCTGAGGAGGTTTTCCGATACCTTGCTGCAACTCCAACGTTAGGCTTGACGTTCGGAGTAATCGCAACATGCGAAAAAGAAAGAAATGAGGTGTTACGTTATGGACGAGGCGTTAAGGTGGTGGAGTCCTACGCGGATGCCAGCTTTGCAGCAGGTGAAAACGAGAAGAGCCACTCAGGAGCGGTGGTGGTGTGGGGTGACTGTCCAGTGATGTGGGCAACACAAAGACAATCAACGGTGGCTTTAAGTACAGCTGAAGCTGAATTACATGCGTCCATAGAGGGAGCAACGATGATTCAGTCGTGCACCCCTATAATTGCCGCTTTGGTTGGAACAGGTGAAGAATCGCTGCAAAAAGTGCTGTATACAGATTCGGTTTCAACGTGCTCGATCATTCAATATCCTGCTGGAAGCTGGAGGACAAGACACCTGAGAATTCGAGCAGCCGGTGTCAGGTCTCTGGTGGACCGTGGTTATATGGTGATAGCGCATCTTCGCGGTGAGTATATGATCGCTGACCTGTTGACCAAATTGATGAGTGGACAGGTGTATGCAAAGCAAAAGGCACTTTGGGGTCTCCGACTGTTGGTACAAGGGACTGACTTGAAAAAAGCCTCGCTTGCAATGGCGGTCATGATGGTGGCTGCATCTCTGCAAGGGATGGCAATTGGTGGCGAAGAAGTGTCCACGGCTGGATTCTTTTGCTCAGAAGAAGGGGTGTGCAAGGTCGCCAACACGTCTACGGTGATGGTTCTGGCTCAGGGTATTGAAATGGTTGTCAACAATTCAGACCTTGTTGCATATTTGGTGGCAGCAATTATACTCTGGGAACTGGCATGGTGCCTCTTTCGACGGCTGTATAAATGGCTGTGGATAAAGAAAGCGGTGGTTATTCCTGCGAGTGCCACTTTGTATACAACAGTGGGTGGGAACTGTATGCACGCAAGCAGTGACTGTGATGTTCTGCGATATTCACAACTCAGGGCTAAAACGCTTTGTAAGCATTGCCTCAAGGATGGCTGGGTGGTGAATGCTGAGTTCCTTGGTGAGGAACGGGCCGCTGGAACGTGAATTTTCCAAGTGCGAGGTGAAGAAATCCTCAATGGTAAAGGATTCAGCCAATGAGCTGAAGGTTCGTCCTGGATGACGTTAAACCATAATATGCATTTCAAGCAGCTGGCTGCTGCCTAAATGGCGGTTTTTGGCCAAAGATCTGCACCTCCAATGTGTCCTAGGAAATCCTAGGACAGGGGGAGTGCGGAGCTGCAATTGGTATTGTAGAAAGGAGTTGGTATTGGAAGTTGAAGGGTCAATGAACCCGGTAATCTTTGGCTCAAGCCATGACCAAAGCGGTCAAAGGTTTCGTAAAAAGTGTGCCCTTGGTTTGGGGTCTTGTTGTTCGATTGTTGGTTGTTCCAGGGGTATTAAGGGCTTCTGTTGGGGTTGACTGTTTTGTTCCCTGTCCTCCTTCGGCTGCCCTCCGTACCCTAAACCCTAAACCCTAGCCCGAAACCCTAAACCCCCTAAGCCCTCGACCCGAAGCCCTCCCCTAAGCCCTGAACCCCAAACCGCGAAACTCTTCTTTCGGGGTTTAGGGCCTGGGGTTCAAGGAAGTGGGTCGGAGGTTTCAGAGCCTAAGGTGCCCCCAAAAGGTTTAGGGTTTAGGGCTTGGGGTTAAGGGTTTAGGGTTTAGGGTCTAGGGTTTAGGGTTAAGGATTTAGGGTTTCGGGTTTGGGGTTTAGGTTTCGGGTGTAGGGCTTCGGGTTTGTGGTTACCCGAAAGAGATGGGGAGCAGGTCCAAGCTTCGTAGCTCACTAGATGTTGCCATTGGCGTTGTTTGAGACTTCAAGATTCACACCGCTTCAACCCTGCAGCTAATATTGGCTTCTTAAAACCGGCCCGATGCAGACCATGAGACCGTGCGCCCGCGCGGTCTGCGCCCACTGCGGCTGCAACGTCAGCCTGCTGGGGCTGGATGGCCTGGGCATCCTTCGCAGGAAGCATGAGAGGCAGTGCCGATCCGATGCACAGCCAAGCAGGCGGTTGCCGTTGCTGCCGCGAGTCGACATCTCCGTGGACGTGCGGATCTTGTCCAGCGAGGACGTGGCGCGGATGCTCTCGCTAACGCCAAACGAGCTCCGTGAGTTCAAGAGAATTGACCCGGAGTTGGCCAAGGAGGTCATGAGCGTGGCAGTGGTGGGGTGGCGCCCGGGAATCGATGCAGAAGCCACCCTGCGCCCGGCCATGGCCATGGGGCCTGGAGATGGCGACAAGATCATGGTCCAGGCGCGGGCTCCGCGCATCCCCGTCCCCGTCGTGCAGTCGGTGGAGTTGGCTTAGACACCTCGTTTCTAACGAACAAGCATTGGGGGGGCATGGTAGCGGGCATGGAGGACTTCGACGCAGTCGCGGTGGAGCGATGTGAGAAGATGCAGCTTCTCGCACGGCGGCTTGCTGCTCATGCGATGACCAGCCGAGGCGGTGGCTGAAGCATCTGCTGAAGCCACACTGTGGCAAAAGGCGACGAATTATGTGTTTCAAGTCCATTTCTGTTCAAAACAGAGGAGAGCCGTTTCACCCCACACTGCTCCTTCAAGGATGCGGGGCTGGCGCTGCAAGCAAAAATGCCGCTCTGGGTTTTCTGGCGCTCCATATCGTGCTTGCAGCCTTGTCGAAGACACGCCAAGACATGATGCCCCAAAATATTTACGTCTACACATCACCAAAGAGAGCTAATCCCAGCCTTTCCCCCCCCCCCCCCCGTCCCCCTTCTCAGGTGCGGCTCAAAGCACCCTACACATCGCAACGCATCACATAGTTTGTCTGGCTAGCCAGGGACTGGGAACTAGCTGGGCCTACAGCCGAGTGACCCTACTACAAGACTCAGCAGCCCGAAGACCGAATCACGCCGGCCCAAACTTGACTCAGTCCTTCATAGGGATACTACACCAAGACTAAGTGAATGGAATGATCTATAGATCAACGGAACATCATGCTAGATATTCACATTTACTTCAACGTTTTCACACTTAGGAAGGCTGGTGCCTCATGCCCCTGTAGAGCCCCATGAAAGTACTATATCCTACTTCCCTACTTCCCATTTAAACAAGCACTTACGTCAATGCCTATACATCCAAACCAAAACTTCCTTGACCACCCTAAGCCCTAAGCCCTAAGCCCTAAACCCTAAACCCCAAACTTCCTTGACCCTAAAACCTAGCAGCGAAGTGCACCAAAGCAAATTCGGGACAGCGTTTCTTTCCGAAGCTTGGAAGGCTTGAGCCGAAGCTCCCCGAAAGGGGTTTAGAGTTTGGGGTTTGGGGTTTGGGGTTTAGGGTTTAGGGTTCAGGGCAAGGATCCCTACTATGGGGGGTTCAAGTGTTTCGTAGGGTTTGGGGTTTACGGATGAGTGTTTGGCAGCGTCTGAGGGCTGAGGGTTCAAGGGCAATGTCCAAGGCCGATTCAACTAGACCAAGTGTTGGGAGAGCGGCAATCTGTTTCAGGCTCCTGCATTCTGACTCCGGGGCCACCACCCCAAAGAGTCCTATACCCTAAACTCTAAACCCCAAACCCTAAACCCTAAACCCTAAACCCTTGCACACGCTAGAACTGCCCCCATTTTGTGGAGGTGTTGGCCTCCACGGAGTTCTACCGACCGGAGCTTGACGACTGGCAGCCGCTGGGCAAAGATCTGCGTGATGTTTAGGGTTTGGGGTTTAGGGTTTAGGGTTTCGGGTTTAGGGTTTGGGGTTTATGGTTTAGGGTTTAGGGTTTGGAGTTTAGGGTTTGGGGGTTTGGGTTTCGGGTTTAGGCTTAAGGACCGTCTGGGGTTGAGGGTCTAGGGCTTAAGGGTTCCGGGGTCAGGGGGGTAATGCTACTGAAGAACTCTGCTTACAGGCTACTTGCTAGGAGCCCCTTTCATGAGAATGGGAAAGGTCTTGTTTGGCCTTCGAGCCCTAAACCGTAAACCCCAAGCCCTAACCCTAAACCCTAGCCCCCAAAACCCTAAGCCTTCAAACCCTAAACCCTAAACCGTAAACCCTACACCCTAAACCCTAAACCCTAAACCCTAAACCCCAAACCCCAAACCCTAAACCCTAAACCCTAAACCCTAAGCCTTAAAACCCTAAACCCTAAACCCTAAGCCCTAAACCCTAAACCCTAACCCTAAACCCTAAACCCTAACCCTAAACCCCCAAACCCTAAACCCTAAAACCTAAACCCTAAACCTAAACCCTGAAACCCCCCTTACATCCCTAAACCCCCTCCATAAACGCTGCCCAGGCTTCGGGCCCGCCTGCTGCTGTCCCGAGGTATGGCCACCATTGCTCCTGCGGGAGTCCTCATGTCTGGGCTCTCGTGCTTTAATGGCTTAGGAAGGGTTCGGGTTTAGGGTTAGTGTTTAGGTTTAAGGGTTTGGGGTTTGGGGTTTGGGGTTCAGGGCTTAGATTTTTCTACGGTTGCGGGTAATTTTTATGCTACAAGGGTGCAGGGAAGGAGTGCAGGGTTTAGGGTTTAGGGCCTCGGGCTTATGTACAAGCGCTGCAAGGCCACCCGGGCGCCCGGTCGCAACACAGAAACAGCTAAGGTACCTTGCTATGATTCCTGGTTTTTTTAGGGTCGTTACATGGTCCCTTATATAACGTACAAGCAAGTGGGGGACTGCCCCCCCCCCCCCCCCCCCTTTGATACAACAGCAAAAAACAAGAGGGGGGGGGGGGGTGGAATTTAGAATAATTCTCTGCTCC